AGTGACTTTAAAAATGCCACTCCTTAACATTAATAGAGATGATTAAACTTTATGAATCCTGGACATCTTTGTTGTCATTAAGGCAGAATTCCATTGTAATACACGCTAACTTATATTTAGCACATTTTATCTTTAGGATAATTACAGGCCTTGTTGTTTCTCCCTTGTTAAATAATACATGATGCTTTTGTCTAATGCAGAAGTTGCTTGGTAAAGTCATATAGCACTTCAGCAATTGTCAGTGGGAACACTAAGAACACCACTTGCTTGTGGAGTTGCGGGCTTATTTTCTTTTACTTACAAAAATATTAGAGATCAGATTTATTGAGATGACTCTGACGATGTAGAATGGATTAGTAGTGCATAGAGCATCAAAATGGATCATGTATGTAGAATTTCAAGCTAAGATTTTGCTTTTCAATATCCCCAGGCCACTGCTGTTAAACTCAGAATCCAGAGAAGGACATCTCTCTTGTTATTTTATATAAGGAATACAATTTACACATTAAATAATGTTATGATAGAATTATTTGATACAACTTTAAACAGATGGAAAAAGGAAAAAGTTCAGGTTACAAAACAAATTTAACAAAACAAATCACTCTACATTGGTCAATGCGAAAAATGAATTCAGTGGCTAGCCAGGTCTAATTTCTGTTGTACTAGTGGTCAATGGAATTAAAAAGAAAGCCCAATTTTCACAATTCCTGCATCAAAGGGATAACAGATGTTGCATTCTTGTGGAATGCAGAAATGGTTCTTCATACTTCAATACCCAGAAAGTTGATTTCATATATCTATCATGAAGAAAAACCATGAACTATGCTTTTCAAAAATATTATCCTTTTTTAGTCTCCTTTCTAAATACTATACTCACACATGAATTTGTTGACAAAGGTATATGTATACATTGTAGACTAGTCTCCATGTATGAGGGAAAATATGCATGATTTTGCTTGGGTGACCTCACTTAATGTTATATATACTAGGTCCATCTATTTTCATGTGAACTTTATGATTCCATTTTTCTTTAGAGCTGGGTAATATTCCACTTTATATATGTACCAGACTTTCATGACCAATTTGTCTGTTAATGGACAACCAGGCTGATTGAGAGGAGGGATATCTTGGCAGCACAACTGCCTGTAATATCCTGAGGAGGGAAGATCCTGAAATTTTATGTCAGGCCTGGAATAAGAGGGGCACCAGATAAGATACTTGTTCCCCTCCTCACTTCCTCATGGCCTCTCCATCAAATTCAGTTACCAGAAGTGCATTGACTCTGCTAGAATCCTCATTACTTAGGCAATTCAGGCACTGAGGTGAATTAGCTGGCTGATTGTGAGGTGAGGATTGAAGGTATATTTATGACAGACAAGGTGAGCCCCTAGGGAATGCTTGTGCTGCTGTTCAGTTGGGGGGGGGGGGGGGGGGGTGTCTGATCTTTTCCTTCATCGGTGATCACTTCATTTTTACCATCATCAGAACTCACATTTCATTTTCAACTGGGAGGACATTCCATTGGTATTTTATTTTATATAATTTAGTAATGAAAAGAAAACTTCAGGAAAATGTCTTGAATGTTAATTCCTTTCACTTGGTGTATACTCCTGGGACTCTTACAAGAAATAGTGGTCATGACCTTGGTTGATTTATCTTATTCATGAATAAAGTTAAACTTTTTTGACCACTCTCTGTTTTTTAACAAAGGAAAAGGTATTAGAAAGCAGGTGCCTGGAGACACAGCTTTGCCTGAAGATTTGACAAACTGTAACTGTCTCAAAGCCTTTCTCTCTCTCTCTGTCTCTTTCTCTCTGTTTGTGTGTGTATTTGTGCCTCACTGTCTCTGTCTCTTTTTGTCTGTCTCTCTCTGTATATCTCTGTCTCTGTCTCTCTCTCTCTGTTCCCTTTATTTCATTACTTAAAAAATAAATCCTTATAATGGATTACCCCCTTCCCCATCTGGACATTGAACTTCAGGATGTTGCACATACATTTCGAGTGCTATGCCACTGAGCCACATCCCCAGCCCTGTCATGGAAATGTTTAGAGGCCTCATTGTCATTAGCTAATGCAAGAATAATCTAGCTTTAAGAAGGTTGATCTCTCAATCTGTCCCAACCTTTCCTTCTTGAGTTTGTGGATACGTGTACATTATCAAAGCCACAGCAAAGTTCTACATTACTCCAAGATTTAGAGTATTTTGGAAAAAGTATTAACTTGTTGAATCCTCCGTAGTACAACACAGTTTCTGCTCTTTGACTTGCTCTTCAATAATCACAGCAAATATACTCTTGTTTGAAAGTACACATTCTTCAGCGTTGATATATTATATACGGTGTATTTAAGTTTTTCTCAGATGTATCAGTTTAGATAGCCACAAAATAGGTTGGCTTTTCCTAAAATTCCTACTATAGGTATCTATATAACAATATTCTCTTCCATATATTATTATACAATCAACAAATGGCTTAATAAAAATTACAACAGAATTACATGAGTGTACACTTCAACTTAGAATAAACATAATTTTCTCATATTCTTGTAAAATATTTTATTATTTTTATTTTATTTGTATGAGTGTAATGTCTGCATGTGTAGATGTGCACCTGTGTTGGGCAATGCCCGTGGAGGTGAGAAAAGGGTGTTGGATCCCCTGGAGCTGTAGTTAAGAATGGCTGTTAGCTGCTATGTGAGTGCTGGGAATCAAATCCAGGTCCTCTGCAAGAGCAGCTAGAGCTCTTAACCACCAAGCCATCTCTCCAGCCCCCTTCTCTCATATTTTTTGTCTGAAAAACAGAAGTGATAGATGTGAATGGACAAACACACTAAATCACCTGCCCTTCTCTCAGTGGCTGAACTTTCTTAGAATATGAAAATGAAATGAATCGTAACATTTTAGAATAATATTTAAATACTCAGCTATTTTAAACACACTTTATTGGATAGACTTATGAGGATACTTTTTAGTAACTATAATTTAGTTTGAGAACCTTTGCCATAGAGAACAGTTTGCATAGACAGATTAGTCATCTGAATCTTACTTAAAGAGAATTTATGAAAGGCTTACGGATAGTGCTGTTTCAGGTACAGGATTCAAAGGCTTGAATTATGTTATCTTCAAGCTCATGTTACCACAATACCAAGCTCAGAGTAGTCCCCACTAGTGGCCATTGCATGGGAACTCTGGGTTCTGGTCCAGTTTCTGCTTTGTCTTCCTTCCCTACCTGCTATTGCTCTGACCTGCAAGTATCCAAAGATGGCCTTGGGGTCGGCTGTGAGTCGTGGCTGGGACACTGGGTCACGTGATAGGCATTGTGTTACCTATAACTTCCATTGTTATAAAAGATGTATGGTTATATAAGTCCTCATTTGGGTTCTCACTTTTATGCCTTCAAATGTCAGGGGCAGGACTGGCGTAGGCATGTTATAAGCTGTAGTCTTTAATCTCAGAATGAGAAAAATCTATCTGAAAGGGCTCAAAAAAGTAGACAAAATCAAATGTAGAATTTTTGAAATAATTATACTGTGATGTGATTAAAATAGGGTCACTTGTCCACACTTAAGATGTGAAATTATTATTATAATCAAGAAAATGAAGAAAAATGAAGAGATTCTTACAAAAATACATATTCAGAAAATGTATTACAGAGACATTTGTATACAAAGAATAGTTAGAATCCAGTAATAAGAAAACAAACAACACAATTTAAAATAGGGAAGAGCTTTTAAATAGTTTACCAAAGAAGCACCAAAGGCAGAACGGCACCTTGAAAAATGGTCAGTATCTGTAGTAACGAGGGAAATGCAAATTGGTATTTTAAAAGATAGGTTTGGGCCCCTCTAGTGAAAGGACTGGAAACCAGGTGTGGCTGCAGGAACAGTCAGAGGCTGCTGCTATAGAGCCGGGCAAAGCCAGGGTTACAAGCACTACAGTGGTTGTGGAGAGGCGAGAAAAGGACAGAGTGGGGACGCTCCTTTAACTGGGGTCTTACATCTAAGCAGGAAGAATCTGAAGGTGGAGGGGAATTTCAGAGAGCTCCTCGAACTCTATTAGAACCTTCCAGATATTCTGCCATTCCTGGGTTATACTGGGTCAGGAAAAGCTATAGCCAGAGGTTTCCTGATTCCCACCATTCCTTTGGTCCTCACCCCCTACCATACACCGAGATTGTTTTTATGTAGATGTGGCCTCAGGAACCCAACTATCCTTTCAGACCTCACTAACTGATCTGTCAGCTTTCCCACGTTGATTCTATAGCTCACTAAAGGAGGGGACCGAGAACACTTCCCTCTTTATTTCTCTAACTCATTAAGGAATCCTCACCACACTCTTCCTTAGGTTCCTTTCCATTCCAGTCTGCTTCTCACATTCTGAGAAAGAACAATGAGATCTTTAAATTCACTCAGTTTGTGTTGAGGAGGAGCCAGACTTTGCCCTGTTCTATTGATGCTCATAGTAGCTTTCAAGCAGAGCGGATGTAGGGAAGGCATTTCCAACCCTCCCCCATCTCCTTTCCCAATTTGGCACATTCTAGCCAGCTTTTTGCTGTCCTTGTAAGTAGAGGAGAAAATAAAACACACCATTCAGGCCCTCTGAAAAATCTGGCACTTCAGTGGGCTTTTCTTTAAGGGGTCTTCGTTTGTAACCAGCTTTGCCATTAACGGAAATCAATTTGAATGTCTTACTGTGTTTCTCTTTTCTCTCCTCTCAGTTTGAGATTGCAGTTGCCAAGTTTCTTTACAGGTCCTGAAAGACCCTCTCTCATTTCTCGGTCCCTGCCTCCAGCCCACAGTGAATACCTACAGAGCTTTCTCAGGCCTCAGGCTGTGGTGTGTGGACTGAGAGGAACTTGACCTACTCTGCTAACCCACTGGCCTGAGCCAATCACAAAGAGGACCTGGACCCCTCCTGCCCAGGCCCTCCCCCTGTGACAGCCTACTGGAAAGGGGGCAAGTTAACCATTCAAATAGTTGGCTTTCCGCCTGTTTCTTTTCCAAATAAGAAGGCAGGTGCCCCTGCCAAGGTCTTGTGAATCAACGTGGCAGTTAAGACCCGAGATCCTGTGTCTCTTACCTGTTGTAGAGGATAGCTGGGAGGACAAGGATGGTGGATGCTTTCTGTGCAACCTGGAAGCTGAGCGACAGTCAGAATTTTGATGAGTACATGAAGGTTTTGGGTAGGTAAAAATCAGACCGGCTTTTTTCTCATTTTAACCTTCAGCTTCTGTTTCTTACAAATCCTTTTATCTACAAGGCTAACAAGAGAGAGACAGAGAGTATTATCCTCACCATCCCAGGTCGTGTGTATCCCACTAAATGGATTTTTAAATATGGCATTTGCCCGTCTTCCTGCCCAGGGTCAAATAACACCACCATTTGATAGTCTGTGGAGGATGTGAAACTTCCGTGACTTTGAGGGGAAGAGGGGAGGATTTTTCTGCATTCCCTTATTTGTGCTCATTAATTGTATGCTAATGGACTAATCATTAATGAAATTTGAAAGGAACTGACACTTTAGAATCCAGTCCTGGGTTCTCAGAATGACAAGCAGATTTCAGCTCTATGAGCTGTTTTGGATGCTGCTCCTGACTGCACTGGCTCCTTTTGCTGTTTCAGGTGTGGGCTTTGCCACTAGGCAAGTGGGGAATGTGACCAAACCAACAGTGATTATCAGTCAGGAAGGAGGCAAAGTGGTGATCAGGACGCAATGCACATTCAAGAATACAGAGATCAGTTTCCAGCTGGGAGAAGAGTTTGAGGAAACCAGTATAGATGACAGAAACTGTAAGGTAAGCAGGCACTCTTTTAGGGTGGGGATGGGAAGGAGGGGCTGAAAGATTCTCAATCTGGGTCTCTGTGGAAGTTGAGGAGGGTAGGATGATTTCAGAATTTCCACTCAGAGAAAGAGACACTGTAGCTAACATTCTAGTGTGTGCAGTTATATTCTGAACTCTGGGTAACTGTCATAATCAAAACTCAAACCTATCTGTCTCTTGTCATACATTTTCCATGTTTTATGCTAGCCTATATTCCAGAGAGCATTGAACAGTGCTTATCTGAAAGAAAGCATGCCCTTTGTTTCCTCACTCTGATTGCCTCAGATTGATTGAATAGTCTCTCATTCTAAGGCTTTGAATGAACCAAAAGAGTGACTGGTTAAGAATTTTTACTTCTGCTAAGATGAAGTTTTTGCAACTAGATATACACATTTCAGTCAAATTATAAATTATTACAGTTTTCATAACAGTGAACCTTGAAGTAACAGAGGATAAGGTACTGATAAGCCGATGATAGACTCAAGTACACAACTCTCCCCACAGTCCTGTCATTTGACTTCCATATGGAAAATCTCACTTCTACCTATTATGTTCTGCATTTTGTTGTTGGTCTTAGTCGGTCATTAAGCTGGATGGAGACAAACTCATTCATGTACAGAAATGGGATGGCAAAGAAACACATTGTATAAGAGAAATTAAGGATGGCAAAATGATTGTGGTAAGAGCCAACTAGCAATTCCCCATTTTCTGTCCTCCCTCCCTCCCTCTCTCTCTCCCCTCTCTTCCTCTGCTTCTCTCCCTTACTTTTTTTTTTTTTTTATAACATCATGTCCTATCACAGTTCCTTAACAATATGTAGAGCAGGAGAAATCTAAAGACCCCAGCTAATTGTTTCCTCAGCCCAACTTCTGTAGATTTTTACAAATATACATTAATTTATCCAAAACTGAAGTCAAGACAAGAATTGTTATAGGATTACTGTGAATATCTAAACTTCAATTGAAAACATCACAAGTCTAATTCACTTTCAAAGAGATAGCTAAGGCAACAGTGCAGACCCCACACACACTCTTCACATCCAATTTTCTCCAGTCCCCTATGGAATTTTTAAAATTTGAATTTCCAATGCAAACTTTTGCTTCCTTTTCATTTTAGAAACCTGAAAACTGTATGAATGCTTTTCACTTATTAAAAATAAAGTGCTTCTTTCTCTTTCGTAAAAATTTTATGAGTGTTTTTGCTTGCACATATTGTGTGTGTACACCATGTGCCTGTGTCTAGGCCCAAGGAGGCTAGAAGAGGGCATTGGATAGAACTGGAATTCTCACTGGAACCAGAGTTACAGGAAGTTGTGAGTGTCCTTAGCATGCTGGGAAACAAACCCAGGACCTCTCGAAGAGCTGTGGGTGCTCTTCATTGCTAAGCCATCTCTCCAGCCCCAAGTGTTTCTTTTTGTTTGTTTAGAAAATGAAAGCATGTGCAAAAGTTAGTGTTTGCAAATGTCTTTATTCTTCAGCCTAATACTTAAATCATATACATCATAATCTTTAAGAATTCAGCTATGAATGTTTCTGTGTAAAAAATGCAACTCTCTTTTGACTCTTTCAGACTCTTACCTTTGGCGATGTTGTTGCCATTCGCTGCTATGAAAAGGCATAGAAGAGATGGTTCTTCGACTGTTCTGTTTACTAGAGTCACAGAGCTTGCCAGATACTGCAGCACTGTTGATCACTGATTAGAAGGTTGTCCTTGATGTGGAAGCCGAAAATGATAGTTTAAAAACTTGTTACTCCAAGCAACTCAAAGAATTTTGATATGCAAGTTCGTTGTTTTATAATTTCCATTACAATGTCATAATAATTTTTTATAAAGCAGAAATGCATCTTATGATTTCCTTTGGAATGCAAATCAAATTGGAATAAAAAATACATTCTCATAAACCTTGACTATCATGTTTAGTGTCTTCAATCTATCTAGGGTTGTATGTAGGAATCTATCAGAGAGTTTTAAATGAAAGAACCTTTTTTATAGTATAAAGTAAGGCTGGATCCGTCAGCACTTTGTATAAAGTACTCATTAAAACATAGCTGGATGACCCAGAAAATGTAGAGATGCCACGTTTTTGTGATTATGGTGAAAAATTGTAATGAATAAATTCATTTGGGCAGAACCTAAGGAGTCTTGTCACAATGAATTTGATTACAAAAATGACTTTGATGCTAAAATCAGACAGTCTAAAAAAATAAAATAATTCAATTCAAAATGTGCTAAAAGATATATATATATATACATAACATATATATATGAAGATATAATCCAAATGCCATGTAGCCAAAGTGTCATTTATCAGTTTCTTATCGAAAGATAATTAGGAAAGGGAAATGGATTTCATTCTGGACTTTTAAGATGACCTTCTAGACAACTCACTGAATTGAATTGTACTAAGTCAACAGTGTAAAAAATGAAATACATACAGAGTGGGCATTAAAGCATTCAAGTTACTTCCTTGTTCCTGGGGGTGAGTGGAAGGGGTGACTGGAACTGAGCTGACTAAAGCAAAGTAAACATCTTGTTGTAACTGGTTTGCAATGCATAAACAAACAAATATGACTGCATTTTAATATTTTAAAAATGTCTTATTTTCTTAACAAGGCAGGGAGTACTATTTTTTTTAACTGATGAGTAAAATGAAGATTAAGTTTGCATGATCAAGTTCTCATGACTAGTAAATAATACCAAAAACAGCAAACTCTTTGATTTTTCCCTTTATTTCCTTTTTAAAGCATTTCAGCTAAGTTTCCTTCTAAAACAAAAATGCAAGATTTTATTTCTCCCATTATACCTTGGACAACCGTTTCTCTATTAGCGTAGGTATATAAGTGTGTGGAGGAGAAGGGGTAAATATTTTTCCAGGGAAGTATTCAATACTCATTTTAATCATCCTTGTGATTTCAGTAAGCCTTTATAAGTTAATTCAAGGTCAAGATACAAAAACGTGAGGAGACTTCATTTCACTTACAGTTCATGGCAATGGTGCTATGGTATGTATCTGATGATGCTTGTACAGGTTGAGCAGTCCTTACCCAAAATTCTTGGGACAAAATATTTTGTATTTTACAATATTTGCATGTACATAATGAGATACCTTGAGAATGTGATCTAAAGACAGAATTCATTTATATTATATATATAAATGTACGTACTTGAAGGCAATTTTGTAAAATATTTTTAGAACATTTATATGATGACTAGAATCTGTCATATGAGGTCAGGTGTGGGATTTCTCCCTTGTGATGCCATGTCAATTTGGGACCTTGGAGCATCTTAGATTTCAAATTTCTATATTAGGGTTGTCCAACTTGCACCTTTAAGAAGAAACCTGTTTTATTTTTTATTTATGTGTGTGTGCATGTGGGTGTCCGTGGACACCTGTGCTGGGTCCTCCAGGAGCTAGTGTTACAGGTGGTTGTGAGCTGCTGGACTTGTGGGCTGGGAACTGAACTCTTCTCCTCTGGAAGAGAACTCTTAACTGTTGAGCCATCTCTCCAGCTCCTCAAAATACACTGTAATGTTGAGTACAGACATGTCCTTGTTTGTTCTTCATTGCTGTGACAAAATACTCTGACCACTACCAACTTGGGGAGGAAAGGGTTTATTTAGCTTACATATCCCAGGTCACAGTTCATCAGGGAGCCCAAGGTAGGAACTCAGGACAGGAACCTGGAGGCAGGAGCTGGAGGACAGGCCACAGAGGAACGCTGCTTATTGGCTTGCTCCCCTGGCCCCTGCTCAGCCTGCTTTTTCTTATGCAACACAGGCCCACCTGCCCAGGGGTGG